CTGAGATCCTTTTAAGGAAGCTTTTATTTTGCCAACATCCTTCATTCAGGTTCCTGGAGAAAGAAGGTGTAGTGGCAGTAACTAATTGAATTAGCAGCTACTAATTACCAAACCAGGTTAGACAAATTATATTTATGATAGCCTAATGAAATCAAAACCATTGAGTACAGTCAACATCAGACAACCTAAGAGGGCAAATGGGTTTTATCTGATGGCATACTGAGTTATCTGACTTAAAGTTCATTAGCATTTGTTGGCCACCAACTTTGTTAAGTACTGAGCAAAGCTTTGGAGTTGCAAAGACAATTCAAAATATCTCTAGCTTTTAAATTGCATTTCTGATGATTAGTGATGTTGAGCATTTTTTCATATGTCTCTTGGCCATCTGTATGTCCTCTTTGGAGAAGTGTCTATTCAGGTCCTCTGCCCCACCCACCCCTTTTTTAAAATTAATCCTCACACAGGATATTTTTCCCATTGATTTTTAGGAAGAGTGGAAGGAAGGGAGAGGGAGAGAAAGAGAGGGAGACATCAATGTGAAAGAGACACATCAATTGGTTGCCTCCCACACACACCCTAACCTGGGTGAGGGATCAAACCTGCAACCCAGGTACATGCCCTTGACTGGGAATCAAACCCGAGGCCCTTCGTTGGGCAAGCTAATGTCCTATTCACTGAGCCACATGGGCCAGGGCGCTGACTTTTTTAAAAAATTGAATTGTTTGTCTTCCTTTTGTTGAGTTGTATGAATACTTTATATATGTTGGAAATTAACCCATCAGATGTATCATTGACAAACATGTTCTCCCATAGAGTGGGTTCCCTTTTCATTTTGATGCTGGTTTCTTTCATTGTGCAGAAGAATTTTAGTTTGATGTAGTCCCATTTGTTTATTTTTTTCCTTTGTTTCTCTTTCCCTAGGTGAAAATTCTGCTATGTGAGATGTCTGATATTTTACAACAATGAGATACCACCTTACACCTTACAGAATGGCTTCCATCAATAAATCAATGAACAACAAGTGCTGGCCAGGATGTGGAGAAAAAGGAACACTAGTACACTGCTGGTGGGAATGCAGACTGGGGCAGCCACTGTAGAAAACATTGTGGAGATTCCTCAAAAGATTAAAAGTGGAACTGCCATTTGACCCAATGATCCCAGTTTTAGGAATATATCCTAAGAATTCTGAAACACCAATCAGAAAGAATATATGCACCCTTATGTTCACAATGGCACACTTTACAATAACTAAGATCTGGAAACAGCCCAAGTGCAGATCAGTAGATGAGTGGATAAAAGGACTGTGGTACATTTGCACAATGGAATACAATGCAGCTATAAAAAGAAAGATCTATTATTCTTTGAAACAGCATGGAAGAACCTGGAGATTATTATGCTAAGTGAAATAAGCCAGTATGGAACAGACTGACAAATCTCAGAGGGAAGGGAGCCGGGGGGTGGGAAGAGATTAACCAAAAAATTTATATGCATCTATGCACTGCCCAGGAACACAGAAAATAGGCTGGTGAAGGCCTGGGGTTGGGCAGGAAATGGGTAGTGGGGTACAAGGGAGAAAAAAGAGGGGAAATCTGTAATACTCTCAGCAATAAAGATAAAATAAAATATCTATAGCTTTGAGTTTCTTGCAGACTAGTGGGGGATACAGACATATAACAGATCACTTCAGTAGGATTTTTGAAGTGTTAAGTGTTAACTTCAAATACCTTGCTTCTCCCACGCTCTGTTCTATATCCGTAGGTGGTGACTCCATCCTTCCAGTTACTCAAGTAATCTTCAAGATTCCTCTTTTTCTCTTATATTTCTACATTCAAACTATGTCCAAATTCTGATGACTCCACCAAAAGACATATAGAATCAGATCACTTCTCACCAACTCCACCTCTACTCTCTGGCTAAACCTACTATCTTTCTTATCTAGATTATTAAATAAAAAATTGATCTGTTCTCCCTGCTTTTACGCTTGTACCTTTTAAGTCTGTTTTCAACATGGCAGCAAGGTTGTTCCTACAACTCTAATGCTGTGACTTGCACAAAACCTGCCAATTACTTCTCATTTCACTCAGTAAAAACTGAAGCCTTGAGAGTGGCTGACAAGCCCCTACCAGACCTTTTCCCCTCTGAACTTTTCATCTCAGCCTCCTAGTCACTCCAACCGCTTTAGCCACACCGGCTTCCTCGCCCCTCCCTGAAGTCAACATGTTCACTGTTGTCTCAAGTCCTTTCTTCCTTCCTTCTTGCTGTTTCCTCTTGCTGTATGTTTTCCTTTATTCTCTGATTACCTTTGTTTCATTTTCTCTATGATGCCTTCTTTGCACATCCAATTTAAAACTACAGTTCTCTTAATTCTCCAACACATTTTATTGTACTTCCTGAATTATTTTTTCTCTATAGCTCTTCCCGCCATCTGATACATTAGTTTTGTTGTTTGGTTCCCCTGACTTGAATGTAACCTCCACGAGGGCAACTTTTCTTTCGTTTGTTTCATTCACTATTGTTTCTCTAGCACCTAGGAAAGTGTTCAACACATAGCAGTTACTCATTAATTGTTGAATGAATGGCTCTCTTTTTTAAAGTACTGTCTGATCCTCTATGGCAAACTTAGGCATGCTCTTTCTGAGTGTCTAGAAAAAATATCACATATATATAAAACTTATTTTTTCATGTCAGGCTGTGACTGACTCTGAGTTTATCTGTAGGGACAGGGCCAGCAACCTAATTTCAGAGCCCAGTGCAAAGTGTAAATGTGACACTCCCTGTTCCATAATGATTAAAATTTCAGGATGACAACTGCCAAGTACTAAACCAAGTGTGGAGGTCTTCTGAGGACAGGTTTTATGCCCCTGAAGCCAACCCTGTAGAGGAGCTACACATGTGTCTCCCCATCTTCATATCCCTAAATAGTTAGTAATGATCCTGGCACAGAGTAGGTGCTCCATAAATGCTTGTTGGCTGAATGCACATACCCTTACATAAAAGAATTTTAAAGTATTCCACTTACATAGTACCAGCACAGAATCACCTAGAATTTTGAAAACATAATGAAGACGAGGAGCCTGAAGTGAGTTAAAAGTGGTTTTGTAAGTGATATGACAATTTGAAGGGGAAGTCAAGATTAGTTGTCCTAGATTCTAACCTAAATTCTAACTAAATTGAATGGTTTGCTTCTGATCCAGATTGATTTTCAGAACTTACTAAGTTTTCTATTTCAAAAGTTAAAAAACAAACAAGTTACACAGAGGTGATCCTGATTTACTCTATTTTATCTTACCAAACAAGTCTTTATTCAAAGTGCAAAGTAACATCTTCAAGACAATATTCCCTACAACCATAAAGGTGATAGATTCAATCAGTGGTGCTTATAATTTCTGAATTAACTGTATTAACTGTATATACTAGGCAATTTAGTTTCTAGAAAGCCCTTTTTTTGTTTCCTTGATGCAAAAACAAATATATCTAATCAAATCTATAATATTTATTTGATTACCAATAAGTCCATTTTCAATTCCCGAGTAGGAAAGAGATTTTTGCTATCAGTGTTCTTGTGTCATATTTTAGAGAAAATAGGAATTTGAAAATGACCTTTAAATCCCAAGATAATTTTTCTTAAAGAATATAAGGCATGTCTATTTACAGGTCACTTTTGAAAAAATGTCTCTAAAAGCTTCAATGTACTGAATATATAAATGAAAAGAGATATAATTGAATTATTAAATAAGAGTGAGCCTTCTATAGGGGCAGGAGCAATGCAGGATCTTCAGTTACTCTATCCCTTCTTCATTTTCTCAAGGTCAACACAGCCTTTTGCTATGAAGGACAACAATAATATAATATTTCACATTTGTATAGTAGTTTTAAAAATTTTTTCAAAAGGAATTTTTTCTGTTCTCATAGTATCACTGTTAAAAAAACAGAACAGCTAGATTGTTTTTGTTTCCTCTAGAGAATTGTGCATACACACATTGAGAAAAATTTAAGGAAAAAGAGAAAAAAATGAGGAACAAGTAGAGTATTGGAATTCAGTGATCATTTAGAATAGATTTTTTTGCCACAGTTAAAAATTCATTGTTATTTTAATATTTTATTATTGCCACCAAAGTATAACCAAATCTCTAAAATATTCAGTTTGTCATTCATTTGTAAGCATTATTGGAATAAATTATTAATTCAGTATAGAAGTATCATGAATATTTTCATTATTTCTTTTAAATTTCCTATAAATCAGCATCATTTTATCAAAATTTGCAAATGTAATGTACACGCTATAATTGCTTAATTAATTAATACTTTCTGAACATCATATAGGTATTTTTTATACAAAGGAAATATACAAAGAAAATCAAAACATATGGTAGTACATAACCACATTTTTGTTGTTGCTCTTTTTTTAAAAAAATATATCTTTATTGATTTCAGAGAGAGGAAAGGAGAGGGAGAGAGAGAGAGAAACATCAATGATGAGTCATTGATTGGCTGCAGCTAGCAACCTGGGCATGTGCCCCGATCGGGAATCGAACCCCGATCTCCTGGATTCTAGGTCGACTCTCAACCGCTGAGCCACACCCGGCTGGGCCATCACCACATTTTGAATTCAATATATGTGTGATATCCTCCGAATTCAAAAAATAAGTCAAAGTAAAGTTTTAAACTGCAGAACATTTTGATATTTTGAAAAACCAAACTAACAAAAGTTTCATGGAGTAATGTATTATAATTTCAAAATTTTTATGTTACAGCTCAGCCAGTGTTACTCAGTGGTTGAGCATCGACCTGTGAACCAAGAGGTTCTGGGTTCAATTCCCAGTCAGGGCAAATTCTCTGGGGTTTCAGGCTCCATCCTGAGTAGAGGAAGGCAGGAGGCAGCTGATCAGTGTTTCTCTCTCATCGATGTTTCTATCTCTCTATCCCTCTCCCTTCTTCTCTCTCTAAAATCAATAAAACCATATTTAAAGAAAAATTTTATGTTATATATAACCAATGATTTCAATAACTTCTAAACTTCATTAATGTAAATCAGAACTTTTTTGAAATAAAAGAATACATTGTGCTTATTTTGAGAATTAACTAGTTTCTTTAGCACAAATTAAAATCCAATGATCACATTTTTGCATGTATTCTGTTCTTGATATGTCTGAAGAAAATGACAGTTAATGAGACTTGCAAAACCTGGAAGAAAAGGAAACAAAAGGAGATCAAAATTTAATCAATATGAATAATTTGTAAAAGTTAGCACTTACTATGTAATCACCAAAATACATACTGTAAAGGGAAAAGGGGTCAAAAAGGGTGAGAAGTTTTGGAGTAAGGAACAAATGGTTGTGAATGAGAAGTCTGCAGAGAGAGTCAGCTAGAGTAACCCAGTTGTCACCAAGTTCATTTATAGAGGGTGCTAAGGAATAAATAGACTGTTCACTTTTAATTACATGGGCTATTGTTGGGCCAGATACCTTGATGAACTGCTCATCTGTTTTTTTATTCATCATTTTTCTAACCATATCATCAATCCTACAAAACTGCCTCTTTTGGGCATAGGATCGTGAAAAGTGGTGTGCAAAGGGTAGATAGTAAACAGGGCACAGATACCATCCTCCCTCAGTCTGTCTTCAACTCCTCAGCATGAGCACGATAGCATTTCACAATAACTATGCTAATGCTTATAAGAGTGTCTTGGCTTACCATCATTCTGAGATTAAAACTCTCACCCGTTGAAGAGGGTTTATTGGATCAATATAAAATTAAATTCAGTATCCTACTTTGACCAAACTATGCATTATATATTTATTCCACTGATAGAGTCTGCAAGGCAATAATCTATCCACTTGCAGTTTTCTTGAATCCATGGCCTTCACTTGCTCTCATCAATTGTCACTGAAACTGGAAAACGAAGTCTTGCTTCTGAAACTCATCTCTGAAGTAGGCACCATACAGGTCATAAAATATGTCTATTTTGCTTCCCAATGTATCTCTAACATCTAGTATAATACCTGAACTACAGTAGATATTCTCCACCCTACAAATTTACTGAATGAATGAATGAGTCTATGAGTGAATAGATTAACTAATGTCAAACATCTGCCTAAATTTCAGAAGTTTGCCAACTTGGCAACATGGTACTCTCACTGCTGTGATAGGAAGTATTATCTTTTTTATTTCACAAAGCAGTGAAATGATATGATACCTGCCAGTATGACCACTTATTAACAGGCTCCACCAACTTGGCTGATTTAGGAATATCATCTCCAGCTGGACCTATATATCTCTTGGTGCTAAGAGTCTCAAGGTCCTGGCTCCGATTGGATTAACTTGTCTGACTAGGTCTCCAGCAGTTTGTTCCGCAGTTCACTCTCTATCATTTATACTTAATATTTTTTATCTTTAAACATAGGAACAAAAGCTTACCTCTAAAACCAAAAGTCCAAAGTTAATTTCAATTAATGTTAAAGCATTAGCTTGATACCATGTGTTGATTTTATTTTCACAACCCTAGGGAAAAAAGTTACTTAGATTGACATGGAGATGGACATGAATCTATTACTAAGAAGAAGAGACAGAAATTAGAAATTTAACAAAGTCTAAAGAGCAAGTCAATGTCTAAGTGGAGACTGAACTTTTTAGTCCAGGGATCTTCATTTGATAGCAGGGCACCTTCGTTGCTACTTTTAAAGTTGGTATGGTGTCATGCAATTGAAATCAGAGATTTATTGTTTTGAGAACAGTTTGATTTTCTGCAGACAATTGTAACTTAGCAGGGTATATACTACCACCTAAATGATTAGTACCCACACAGGAGAAGCTTTAAAAAAAAGCAACCATCTATTTATCTATGAATAAATTATATAATTAAAAGATACATCTTAAAAACAGAACATTAGGATATAAACCATACAAAGTATTAGAAGTCTTTGGTGTGGAAATCTCTAGTTCATCAATATTCCATACCTGTAACTAGTAGCTGTTCCAGGTGAAACTGTACTCTTGCTTCTGCCAAACTTACCTGAATACCACTTGGGTCATTGCTGGGGTCCCCTCCCTTTTGTTTTTGCCAGTCTTCATACCTCTCAAATACTGGTATGGCAGCTCTCCGACCAATAGTGAGAGCAGCCAGCCTTAGCTGGTTTGGCTCAGTGGCTAGAGCATTGGCCTGCGGACTGAAGGGTCCCGGGTTCGATTTCAGCCAAGGGCACGTGCCTCGGTTGCAGGTTCAAGCCCAGGCCCCAGTTGGGAGGCAATCAATCAATGTGCCTCTCTCATATCAGTGTTCCTCTCTCTCTCTCTCTCCACTCTCTCTGAAAAGCAATGGGAAAAATATCCTCAGGTGAGGATTTAAAAAAAAAACTAGTGAGAGCTGCCAATAGCACCTCCTTCCTCTGCAAGGATTTGGGAACAAGGATGAGGAGGGAAGCTGGTGGTACCCCAAGTTCTAGTAGCACTCAGATCACATGCTCTGAAAAGTTTATTTATTTATTATATTATTATTTATTATTATATATTATATATTATAATAATATATTTATTATATATTATTTATTTATTATTTATTTATTCAATATTATTATATTGAACCCTAAATATGGGTTCAATTTAGCTAAGTCGCTTGAAAACCTGATCACCATAAATAACACTGTTTTTATATAAAAATCTGCTCAGAATTCTAAATCCACTTGCAAAGAAAAGAAAAAAAGGCACTGTAAATACTTGCAGCAGCTTTGACTTATCTTTACCTCCTGGTAAGTTGCATTCAGTGGCTCATCGCAAAACCACTGTCTTACTGTAGAATTCGTGCAAGAACATGGTACCTGTTCTGAATTTTCTTTATTCTTATTCTTTATCCAATCTGTGTAATTGTTTTGGCCGCAACACTGTAACTAGGAAAAAAAGATTTTATGAATTTTACCATAAAATATTCAAAACACAGTTAATTATATAGTTCCTATGCACATTAAAGTGTTTTTATGATAAATTTATTAATTTACTCTCTATTGAAATGTAGTAAATTAAGCAAATAAGTACACATTTGTTTGTTTAATCTATTACTTTTTTGCTGCTGTTATTGATGTAAACACCTATTCCTGTAAATTATTTGGCTGACCATATCAATTCCCTTCCCTGCCCAGAAAGATCCAAAATGTTAAATAATAATCCTAGGAAAATTAACTAATAAGTATTAGTACCTAACTATGTCCCAGATCCAAGGCTTTCTAAATATTCTATATATTACTTCATTTATTCCTGCCAACTAGAAGTAGGTGTTATTCTGACCATTTTACTAATATGATATGTCAAATTAAGAAAATTACTTGTCCAGGGTCACAAAGCTACTGTGTGACAATCCCAACATTCAAGCTCAAATGGGAACCATCAAGCTACTCTGCTGCCAGCAGGGACTGTGCTCAGATTTACCTCCCATGGGTACAGGAGGACAACTGGCCCTCCTTGGCAGAAGACCACCAGCACTTTTATAGGGAAAACAGGTTAAAAAGCACATCACTTAACCCAGAAAAGGAGCTATACGTTACAAAAGGAAGATAAAACTCAGATCCGTAAGTTGAAACAATGAGATTATATCCTGTTTGTTTGGAAGAAATACAAAACATCTCATTTCTCTGTCCCTATCTCCTAGCCTTCCCTGTATTGCTCCCTACCCTACAGGGGTCACCTTTGACATCGGAATTTTAGTTTTATGCTAATTTAGTCTTACCTTTTTCTGCAGCTCATTCAGAATAATCCACTTAGATACATCTTCAGTCACATCTTTAGATCCGTACTGAGAAATAACTAAATCAATTTCATCCCACCATACTTGGTGGACCTGTTGAAAATTGTATTAAAAGTGAACTTTTGATGGAAACGTTCATGTCTCGTCATAAGGAAAGGTTATTCAAAGTCAGCTCGTTGTTATCTGCTTATGTCTAAATGCTTTCTTTCTTCCTTGCAACTATTTTTAGCAATCTCGGCGAGTGCTGATGCATTTGGTCTTACTTAAACTTTCAAAAGTCCATGACTTTCATAACTAATTCCTAATTTGGTCTCTAAAATGCCAAAAGCTAGAAAGAACAAATACTATCGCCATTTTATGAACAAGGATACAGATACTCAGAGAATTTAATTATTTGCTTTGTTTACATGAATAAGGAAAAGGAGCTGAGACTTCTAAATATGGTTTATTTAAATTCTAGTCTAATGACTTTTCATTGTGTTCTGCTGTCTTTGGATAATGAACACTAAATAACTAGTATGAATACTATAATAATTGAGACATCTGTACAAATTAGACCCTCATGCAGTTACTTATATGTCTATGCTTTAACAGATTTAAGATTAGAATAATATAAAGTGCTATTTAGAGCTTTAAGTTATCTAACTTATTCTCTAAGTTAATTTTTATTTAAAACAGAAAATGATGTTTTTCCATTTTATATTTTTGTGGGGAAAGGACAGACTCATGTCCCCACTTACCCTCTAAGCATTATTTGGGAGATCCAAAGCACTTATGAATCATACCTTAGTACATAAAAGTAAAATGAATTTCCTAAATAATTTGTGTGACTACTATATAAATAAAATTCCCTCACACCTATTCAATCTAACAAGCATCCGTTGAAGCCCTAGTGCATCTCTAACACTGAACGAGGCACTGGAGATAGTATGAGATTTAGAGGCTCATAAGAACTTAATCGACTTTGAATGTAGAAGACAATCAATGTAAACAAAGTTGTTATTCTCTGTGATGAGCCAATAGGGGTTTGAGTCCAGGCTCTGTTATTTGGTCATGATATATTTAAGCAAGTATTTCTCCTCTTAAAGCCTCAATTTCCTGTTCTAGAAAGTAGGGCTATGCACCTCTGGGAGGATCGATAGCATAAGGCCTAGATAGTGCTTATCACAGTCTCTGGCGCAAGGTAGTCATTATTAAATGATTCTTATTATTCTTAGAGTAAAAAGGAATCTGTGAATAATACTTAAGTAAATGCGGGTGACGCTGATAAACTATATTTATGTGTTAAGGGTTCTTAAGTATTATATTCAGGTCTTATCACTAGTTCCAAAATTTAGAAGATGACGGTTTGGGACCTGGTGCTCTGCCACCAAAGCAGCTTTATAGGACTTACCTGTTGTACACACACACACACACACACACACAAACATTTTGGATGTAGAGAGAAGAAATTTTAGCTACAAATGCCAGGCCATTAACAATAGACCCTGGGTGGTTAGATACCCAGGACAGATGCTAAGTACAAGAGAGCAAATAAAGTTGGAGGGCAGAGGTATTATGTAGGAGATTTTGTTGGGGGGTGGCCATTACTTTGGTATCTACATATAGAGAGAATTTGAATGCTGGGAAGCAGAGGAATTAATCATGGGCTAATTTAAAATTAATAAAGGGAAGGAAGAGGGCTCTTAAGTCGCTACTGTATGACAGGAACTTTGAAAATTGTCAGTTAATGATAACGCTATCGGGGATAGGCATTAACCACATGATACAGATGAAGATGTGGACTTCGGGCTGTAAGGTATCTAATCACATGAAAATCTGTATGACTTCAAGTCCATGCTCTTTTTACCACAGGACAACCTCACATAATACAAAGAAAGACCCTGACTGCACTGAAACACTGACATTGCTTAAGGGATTAAAAGTAACTGCAGGCTATAATGGGTAGGTTTTGTTAGGGAAAGTTTCTTCAGGCAATTTATTATGTGTTATTTGAACTTATCTAATTAATTTAACTATATCACTCATGACCATACCTGTGCAAAATACATGAATTATTCAGTCCATCTTAATGAAATTGGTAAATTTCAAATTAGTACAAGTTGAAAGTATTACTTTATAGAAGAGAATATAGTAAAGTGATTGGGCCAGCAGTGGTAGCCAGGGGACTGGGGGGCCAATTTTGGATTTCCTACACTCAGCATCTTCTCCTCTACCTCCACATTCTGAATTATTTGCAACATTCTCAATCTTCTGCAGAGTAAAAGACAAGTTCCCGAACCCACCCTTCCAATCTGATATCTGGCCCCTTACTGTATAGAGAATTCTAGTACCTTCATTGACTCTTTTCCCACCAAAGACATTTACCTTTAGTTTTAATATAAGCTTATAGGTCTCAATAATCTAAGATATCCAATTTTCTTTCAATTTCAAATAAAAGCATGATCCTTCCGTACCTCCTCTTTCTTTGTGAAGATGAATGCTGAAAGTACAACTTGAACACCAAAAGCCCACATTAACAGTACTGCATACTAAAACAGAAGAAAAACAGAGTGATGACTATGCTTCTAATATATTTTTTAGATGCTGCAATGTGGGAAATGTACATCATATGAAATATTCAGTCTTATAATATGCATGGGTATTGCTGAGGTTTCTTGTTCTCATACACAAGAGTGAAATTATGAAAACAAAGAGCAAATGAAAAAAATATTAATGGACATTTGGATGAGTAAGCTAGAAGGAAGTGACAGTATTTCCTGAGAACCCTCACAGATTATATTGTTTAATGGAGATGTTGTTGATACCATCTTCATTCAGATCTAAAACTGTCACAGAAATTAGTCAATTCCCTTGACCAGTGTAGACTGAAAATCAGTGTCTAGAGTGACCACCAGACTTTTAGTGCTGCATAAAAGGTAAGTATCTCTGCATTCTTCCTGGCAAGACAGAATGTCTGCAGTTAAATTTCTATTTATCTTCTTGACAGGAAAGTGCCTGTGAATTAAAATTAATTAGATTTATATGAAATGTTAAAAATTATATTCCATCTAAGTGTGTGAATTGTGACACATAGCTACCACATGTATGGTAAATGGCTCATGTTAGGTTTATGTTCCTGATTATAATTTATCTTTTCATGTTACATGCCTTCGGAGAGAGAGAATACTAGCCAGAGTCTAGAGTCTGCCCCTCTCAGCAGTTACATTTATCTTTGTTAAATAATAAACTGTGATCTCAGTGATAAGTTAGGTCTCTACATGCATGCCCAAAAGGTAAAAACACGCTGACTACAGGATTTTTCCTTTTGCTTGCTAAGGTACAATGCTCATTGATGTTAATATACTTTATTCTGATATTTGTCTTCAGATTCTTAGGTTGGTTAGTTGTAGTTCACCTTAAAAGATGGGTTCTTATTGACTTTGTGCTAAAAATTAATACCTAAGTGTGCAAGTGCTGAGGTACAGATTTGATCCATGGAAAACTCTCCCCCTAAATTCTACCTAGAAAAGTTTCTTGGAAGGGGGCTCTTTATTTGCCTTATTTGCCCAAGGGCACTCTGTGCTGTAATGTTGTGGTAACATAGATCATTCAGATCATTTGTGTGATCTGGACACTCAAAATTGAAGAGACACATTCATGCTCTTGAAGTGAAATACATACCAGAATTAGGAGGCATCTGACTTCATTGTGAATTCCCAAATAACCCAAGAGAAAAAGAAGAACAATAGCCGATCCAGTTCCAATCAAAATTCTAAAAATATATACTATCAAGTGATTATTTTCATCTGTGGAAATCATAAAATAACTTATTATTCAGTAGTGTTTATTTTCTACTTAGTTATAAATGCAGCAACCCAAGTTTTCTCTAAGCAGCTTTTGCCAGACTACTAGGATTCTTTCTTTCTCTTTTTTAAACTTTATTCTAGACCCTCTTACTTCCTTGTAGAAACAACTTTTCTTCCTTTAATGACATGATGGAGATCTCTTCAGTTTCAGAAGATCTCTTTACCCTTACCTTATCTTCATTGTCTTCCATAAAAGAAGACAATTTTTTCCCTAAGGTGAACTCTTCTACAAGTAATGTACTTCAAACACTGATGTATTTATTCATTCATCAGAAAAAATTTAAGTACTTAAAATGTATAGGTTAAGTTACCCTGACATTATTGCTAATATGATCCTATTAAAGCTGTTTTATTCTGTCCATATCAAAATTGAGCTCTCTGTGCTAGAGGACTATATATATAGACACACACACACACACACACACACACACACATATATTAAATAGAATAGTTAAACCATAGAAATCACCAAATACCATAAATCAAAACTGCATCCCCAAACCTGTTAAACCCTACCCAGCACACGTTGGGTAAAGGGCACCTAGTCCAGCAAGGCGAGGAGGCTGGAAGGTATAGACAGTCCAGATTACTGAAGAAAGTAACATCTGACTTCAGGCTTTAAATGATAATTAGAAATATCTACAGTGGAATAGTAGAAGCACCTGGAGACTCAGAACAGTGCCTTGTGTGTAGGAAGCTCTGCTTTGTTGGTGCTTACAGTTTGATCCTGTGAGTCTGGAAAAGTTTGCAGGGGCCCAATTATGGGCATTTTGAATAGTGTTTTCTAGTCTTCTTTACTGGAATTAAACTCCACGAGGACAGGACCTTTATCTGTCCTGTATACTACTGTACCCTCAGCTCATGGGATAGTACACTATGTGTAGAATATTCTCTGTAAATATATTTGTCATTTGAATAAATAATGGCAATAGGGAGCCAGAGAAAGGTTTTTATTTATTAAAATATGTTTTTATTGATTTTTAGAGAGAAAGGAAGGGAGAGGGATAGATAGAAACATCAGTGAGAGAGAAACATCATGGATCAGCTGCCTTCTGCATGCCCCCTACTGGGGATCAAACCCCAAACCCAGGGATGTGCACTGAACTGTAACTTCTGGGTTCCTAGGTCAACACTCAACCAACGAGCCACACCAGCTGGGCGAGAGAAAGGCTTTAATGTTACATGATTAAATTTGTCTTTTAAATTAATTCATTCAGTGGCATTTGGAAAATGGCTGAGGAAGGTCAGAGCACAAGGCTATTAGGGGCTATTACAGTGGCAAAGGGTAGATGGGGACTTTAGGTGGCATGGTGTTATTACAAATGGAGAGGTGAGGGCAGAATACGTTAAAAAGAGGTAAATTAAGGAAAAGATGGGATAAAAAAAGGGAAGGTCCTGGTGTTTCTTGCCTCAAACTGTTTCCTTTTCAGTTCCATGTCCTGAAACCTTGATTGAGATTTCACTAAGTGTTTTAAATACATGACTAAAGTGTGCAACTTTAGATTTCCCTTAAAAAAATTATTTGCCTTCTCTTTTCCACATCTCACAGCCTAGAGAACAGAGTTGGTGTTGAGCCAATCAAGGACAACTTTAGGACTAGCAGAGCAACAATACAGAAAGAACTGGGGTTTCTCAATGAAGCAGCAATCTCCCTATGGTTTGTTATATTAAATATCCATTTTGTTTGAAAAAAAATATCTTAAAGGAGCCTGCCCCGGAGTGGTTCAGTGGTTGAGCATGGACCCAGGATCCAGGAGATGATAATTCAGTTCCCGGTCAGGGCACATGCCCAGGTTGCAGGCTCCATCCCCAGTCGGGGGCGTGCAGGAGGCAGCTGATCAATGATTCATCATTGATGTCTCTCTCTCTCTCTCTTTCTCTCTCTCTTCCTCTCTCTGAAATCAATAAAGACATATATACACACACATATATGTATATACACACACATATATACACATAGATATATACACATTAGGGTTAATGAGAATTATCTGTCCAGTCCAAAATGGAGAGGAAAAAAGGAAAAAAAATGACTTAAAAAAATGATTTGCTTCTGACAAATTACTACATTATTAAATCAGATGAGAGTGCTCAGCCCAGGGTCTGGCACAGCCAACACTACATAAGTGGGAGTTACTATTGTCGTTATTGTGCGGAAGGAAAAGAGAGATAGAAAGGTCCATACACCCATTTACTCTAAGAACGCCCCTAATGCACTCATTTTCCATAAGCAAAGGATTACACAAAGAGAATAAATGTATTAAGCACTTAGGAATAGCTGAAGTTTAGCTAAATTATTCAACACTTTGTAGCACTGTATTACATATTAAACCTTTTTATTTAGCTTTATTTTTTCCATAAACATGTTTTTTCTTACTTGATATCCATTAAGAAATAGGTTGGCTCTATAGCACATGCTTTCACCATATATTTAATGATTAACAGTGCCATTCAGCAGAACTAACTGAAACAAAAGGAAAAATTCCACATCTGTGCTGTGCAGTAAGGTAGCCAATACCCACTAGCCACATATAATCACTGAGCACTTAAAATGTGGCTTCCTTCCTGCCAACAGAGGATATTTATATGAAAATAATCTTTAGGCTATTGAACTTCAGTCCACAGTGAACACAGCATATGATAAAATAAGGACAATGTAAAGATCTAAAGGTTTTTTTAAATAAAGTTAAATGTATTCAATTATTGTATTCGCAATTAGAAAACATTTTAAACATATGTTTACATAAATATATGAAATAAAAATATTATATATAAAAAAAATATATATTTTTTAAACAGACATGACCTTTAATATGATGATGTGCACAATGGTGATACGATTTGCAAGGACATTTTGATTTCTTTTTTTTTTTTTATCCTCACCCAAGGATATTTTTTCTATTGCTTTTTCAGACAGAGTGAGAGAGAGAGAGAGAGAGAAACATTGATGTGAGAGAGACACATTGATTGGTTGCCTCCTGCACGCTCCCTGGGACAGGAATCGAGCTTGTAACCGAGGTACGTGCCCTTGGTCGGAATCAAACCTGGGACTCTTCACTTCAGTGGCCGACGCTCTGACCATTGAGCCAAACCTGCTAGAGATGATTTCTTTTTTAAAAAAATATATTTTTATTGATTTCAAAGAGAGGAAGGGAGGGAGAGAGAAACATCAATGATGAGAGTCATTGATTGGCTGCCTCTTACATGCCCCCCACTGGGGATCCAGCCGCCAACCTGGTCATGTGTCCTGATGGAAATCGAACTCTGACCTCCTGGTTCATAGGTTGATGCTCAACCAGTGAGCCACTCTGGCTGAGCTGTATTAAAATATATTTAATAAATACTGGAGACACAAAACATATCTGAGCAAACACACTGGGAAAGGTATGGAGATGCATTTGGGCCTTGCAAAAATCAGAGGTAGATGATGTCCCTCCCTCCTCTCTGTCTCTCTCTGGAATCTGATTCCTCCACTTTCTCCTTCAGACCAGCTGCTGCTGTGCCTCAATTCATAAGGTTAAAATATGGCTATTGATAGATTCTGTGTTTCACAGTCTTGGCTACCTGGGGTGAGACTAATTCTGGAGTCTTTTAACTTCAAATTTAGAATTTTATGGGAAATATTTGTATTGAGATAAAATTGGCATAAAACATTGCATAAGTTTAAAATGTACAATGTGTTGGCTTGGTACATTTAGGTACTATAACATGATTACTATGGTAGCATTAACTAATGCCTTTAGCCTCTCACATATTTGTCATTTATTTTTGTGTTGTGAGTAGTTAAGATTTAGTCTCTTAGTATCTTTGAAGTTTATAGTACAGTGTTTTGACTATGATTACCACGTTCTGCATAAAATTGCCAGAATTTATTTATCTACTAGTTATAAGTTTGTACCCTTAAACAATATATCTCTAATTCCCCCACCCCCTAACCCTGCTAACCACCATTATACTCTGTTTTTACTAAGTTCTTTTTTTAGATTCCACTTATAAGAGACATCATACAGTATTTGTCCTCTGACTGTCTATATCACTTAGCATAATACTTTCAAGGTCCATCTGTGGTGTCACAAATGGCAGAATTTCTGTCTTTCTCATGGTTGAATAATATTCCTATAAATATGTATGTACATCCCATCTTCTTTACCCATTTATCCATTGATGGACACTTAGGTTGTTTGCATAGGAAACAATATTTTATTTCTAACTATGTGATGAGAATAAATGGTAACTGAGTTTTAAAAGAGATTATTTAACTTGGGCAATGAATCTATGTTTATCTCCATTATCTTTTCAAATCTACAGATCTGTAAAGGTCCAGAGTTAGCAAAATAATCACAATCTTCCATTTCTCTCATTCCTCTTGTCCAAAATACCTAGCTTTCTCTCAAAATTTTCTCTCCCTTACGGTCTTGGATTTAGCCTGTCATTTATTAAGGTGTATCTAAAACCAAATGACAAAAACCTTCAGATGAAAACATTGACTTTTAGAGAAATACTGCCACCTGCTGAATAAATCATATAAACAATTGTTTAAAATGGAATGCCTTGTTTCATTCAGAGAGAAAAAGAAAAATAGATACATACCTAGAGCACTGAAAAAAATATTTCTATCTAATAAAAGCCATGCACCAAATCCCATGAGTAATAGTCCAAGAACCTACAAAAAAAAGAGTCAATGTGATTTTTAGTAATTGCCAATAAAAATACATTGCATTTTTTCTAGACTAATTTTTAAGATTCTTACCAAGAAAGCTCCATTAATGAGATTAAGAAAGTATTTTAAAATTAATGATTTGCTTTTCCTTAACATTCTTTTCCTCTCCAGATACTGATGATTCTGAAAAGATAAGCACAACTTTTACTGTAAACACTAGCCATAGTAACAACTTTAAATGATTCTGCTTAGTAACATTTACTTGTACATTTTTCTTCTCATACCAGTGATCAGTATAACATTCCCTTCTGCCCTCTCTAATACGACATATTGAAATTATTCAATTAGTCTATAATTTAGGATATACAGTATGAGAAAAGGAACTTAAGGTTGTTTTAATCAAATATTGTTTTCCAGAGAGCCACTTTTCCTAAAACTTCTATGGAAAAACCAACATCCCATTTTTTTTATTGCATTATTGCATATCAATGTTTTAAATTTTCCTGGGTGCGTTTCTGGGTTCTCTTTGTTGTTAAAAACTGGAAATGGACTGCAGGTAAATGGATAACATAAGCTAAGCAGACTTGAGGTCTTCCCTTGAGAGGTGATGTCATGGGAATGAGTGAAAGAGAAGAGGGATTGACTAGAGATAAAAATAAGCAGAAGTGCGATATAATTAGGAATTTGGATTTTTTTAAAGATGACTTTTACAAAAAGAGAAAATAATCCAAACAGGATCTCATAGAAATGAAGAGAAAAAGAAATTTCTAAATGGTGTTACATGATACAGAGATAAAAGGGTGAGAATTTAATATTCTCAGTCAGCCAATTTGGTAAGGAAGAAGTTCATGGTAACTTCAAAACGGCAGTGTTATAGTCCATTTGGTCTGTTAAAACTAAATACCACAGACTAGACAGCTTATAAATAACAAAAATTTATTTCTCATAGTTTTGGAGGCCAGAAGTCAGGATCAGGGTGCCAGTATGGTTGGGTGAGACCCTCTTCCAGGTCTCGAACTTCTAGTATGTTCACATAGTGAAAGGGGCTAGAGTGCAGTGTGGGATCTCTTTTATAAGAGCACCAATTCCATTCATGAGGAATCCACCTATGACTTAATCACCTCCTAAAAGTCCCATCTTCTAACACCATCACTTTGGGTGTAAGGATTCCAACGTGAATTTGGGGTGCATACAAACATTCAGACCATAGCAAGGAGTTCAAGTGAAAGAGTTAGAACACAGAAAACAGAGTGTCTAAGCAACAAGTCAGGGACGCTCACAACAATGTTTGCACAGAATGGTAAGAGATGTGCTGCTCTTTTCAGCCACAAGCCCCACATACTGGAAACAATAGCAATGAAAATGTAGATGGATGAACACAAAGAGGCACAACAAGTCAGTGCAGGTCCTATTTAAATATTTGTAGCATGGAAGAGCTATATTTTCTTTTGCTATAGATGCAGTATTTCTTTTGTTCATTTCCTAATTAACTAATTAATGATCCAACAGCAGAGGTATTTTTTTAATAGCATCAATGCTATAGGGAGGGATAATTTACAATAATTAATCTATTCATAGTGTAATTGTTTACTAATTAAATAATACTCTAATCACTTTTATTGTTGTTTTTAAGTTCCTTCTAAATGCCAGGAAATGGGAACATAAAAATGAATAAATAAAATAAACCATGAAGGAGTCAAGTATTGAAACCTGTGGCCAACTATGAATTACCCACTGGGGTTGGGTGGTAGGAATAAAGGGAACTGGGATGTTTCAAAGAGGAGATGACTTTGAGATGATCCTTGATAAATGATTAAGACAGATAAAAATAGGATAGAGGGAGGAAGTTTTCAAGATAGATGGAACACTGTGTTCACAAGCTTTACAGAGAAGTGCATGGGGCATGGGTCAGAGTGGCAAGAGCAATGCCCTTTACAAAACTATAAACCTCAAAGAGGTGTGGTGAAAATTAAATGAGATTATGTTTGTAAAGCTTTTAACCCAATGCCTGGCTAAATGCTCGCTATTAATCTCATTATACCACATCTTAGTATAGAAACACTAAGGTTATACAAGGGAGGTGGGCATGAGGATGGGAAATGGGAAGGGCACGGTGGGAAAGTGATGGACTCTGAAGTAGGTGGTCTTGGCAGCTGCTGGGAGAGAGCACGAAGAGGGTTAGAGAGGGAACCTGAAGGTTTGGGATAGTCTTTAAGTGGAAAAAGAGAAGCAGAGGCCTAAGAATCTAACATTTTGGGTTGCCCATTAAAAATATTATGGCTCTGTAATCATCCTTAAGGAAACAAAACAAACGAGCAAATACAGTCCACGCAGCTATGTGAGTACTACGATGATATCCACGGTACTTAAACTACATGACTACCAGATGAAGAGCGAGTCATCTGTTCAAGAGTGCTATTAATCTAAAGTCCACCGGCAATTAATGTTTTCAAGCAAATCTTATTCTTGTCTGGTAGCTGAGGAGTAAACAGTTTTCTTTCAACTTTTTATTCCCTCCATAAATATTATATGCTCTCTAGGGAGATATGTGTGTTAGGGAAATAGGATATAAACCAAGCAGACATGTGATAATTTTTTAAAAAGAGCAAAATTTAATGGAAAAAAAACGTTACTTACAAAATGAAACACACACACACACACCTTATTCAGGTTAAAAGGTTATTGTCAATTTAATTAAAAAGCAAGGTTACAGGCAAACTAACATATACAATGTTAGGCTTTAATTTCCAGGGAGATTGCAATTAAATAGATTTCTGCTAAACACTGTATCATTAAATAATGATTTCAAGTTAAATTGATTTATAATCTATAACTATTTGAGATAACTGTTGTACTTTGTTCCTTAATTAGTGATATTAACCAATGATCGCTAAGGTATGGGTAATTGCTATGGGTTATCAGTTTTCTTCCAAAGTAAAAAATAACGTGAGAATGTAAGACATGTAGTAACACTCACCATGGATTAATTTATCTTCAGAGGAACTTTCAATATTTTAATTTTTGTCCTCACTTTATTTGACAAGGTAAGCTTTAAGAAGGAAAGCAATCTAGACATCATCTTCAAAGTAGCTGATTACTAAATTAGCTATGTAAAATTAGTCTTAGAAATTAATTGATTACTAATGGATTGTATACATTTTTAGGAAAAGTCTGAAAAATTTCATAATTACAAATAAAATTAAGTTTAATTTAAAAAAAATATATATCTTTATTGATTTCAGAGCAAGGAAGGGAGAGGGAGAGAGAGAAATAGAAACATCAGTGATGAGAGATTCGTCATTGATCAGCTGCTTCCTGCACGTCCCCAACTGGGGATGGAGCCCACAACCCTAGCATGTGCCTTGATCCAGAACTGAACCATGATCTTCTGGATCTTAGGTCGATGCTCAACTGCTGAGCCACGCCCGCTGGGCTACGCTTAAATTTTTTACATGTGAATTTCAACCTAATATCAAAGCCTGACCATTATAAGTGAAGAGTTTGAATAGTCTATAAGCCAGCAGCGAAACTAAACTAAAAAGAAAAGGAGCATTTTGGCATGGACTTTGATAATGAAAATATTCTAAATTTAATTAGATCTAAAACCAGGAGTAATCTATTTTTGAAAATCATTATCTTTCCTGAATGAGGCACTAACGTGTTTTATTAATATCAAAAGTCTACTGATTTCTCACTCTATATTATTAATTCTCATGTTGATGCAATACAAGTTTATTGTTACCAAGCAACAGAGTATATTTCTTTACAAAGGCTCAATGAAATGTTTGCTTTTAGCTTACCGTCTGTCAGATATTTTTTACAATTATGCATAGCTACTTCCTCTTGGAATTTAGTTATTTGTTTGCAAACTTTAAACAATTAAAATCAGAAATTTTTTTACTAACTAAAATGAAATTTCACATTTGTGCACTGTATATTTGCTCCACGCACAAACTTCGATCAATTTTTAAGTAAAAACTAAAGAGCATGATATACACTTAAACTTCAAATTTTATATTAAAACAGTGAGAGTCACCGTCAATATTTTACAGTAAAACACATTCCAGAAAATAACTTTTCTAATTCCTCACCCCACTCACTCATTCGTTTAGAGGTTTTTTGATAGGCATTGAGTGACAATGGACTTTTTTTTTTTTTTAAAGAAACTGTTGTCATGGAAGGCAAAAAATTTATTAGCTTCTCTTTCATATTTCCAGACCCCACAAATCACTATCCAGGATTAAGATTTTGTGAAATGAACAGAGGCGATTTAACATTCACTAGATGCAAGTAATAAATATAGATAAATCAGAGACAATTTAAAGGTCAGGGTACCTCTATTTGGGTAATTGTAACAAAAATGTCATTACTTTATTAACTACTTTCCAAAATTATTTAAATGTTAAAATCTACCTAAGCTTCTTATCCAGCTCCTGAGGCGCAGCGTTCGGTCCAATTTCGGAAAGAGATAGTTTGTCCCACTGGGGCACCGGTAAGAAAAGCCGGTCCCTCTGCCGCGGGATTGGCTGTTGCCATGGTTACACTTTGTTTGGCGCTTCCGGGCGCTGTCTTCCAAGTCCGCCGAGGGATTTAGCGGCCGGTGGGTGAGCGGGGCCCTGCCGGCGCGGGCTCCTGGTGAGGGA